AACGCATAATTCACAACCTAGTGTAATTTTTACTTCTCCGTAAGAAGGTAATGGTTTACCTTACATTTTTCCATTTCTGGAAACTGCTTTGGCGCGTACGGTGTTTCTGCCGCGAAATTTTTCTCTCTTATTAAAAAACGCAACGGTATCTTTCTCTATTTCGAAACCAAAAGCTATCCAATAGTCGGTACTATGTTTGTTTTTATTTAATATACAAAGTTGTCACACGCATGAATTCATGATGTCAGAATTGCAATGATGAAGGGGTTTGTTTTAGGGATGTAACGGAAGTGGTTATATCGAAACCGAATTCGGAAGCGCAGTTTTTAATTTGGTTAATCGGAACCGAAATCGGAATCGGAACCGTACTAATTGCAGGCAGAAAAATAAAATAAAGTGACTACAAAAGAAGCAAATTATACACAAACACAAGTGAAAGGGTAATCAACAGAAGGCACGGGGTGAGGATGGTATCTCGAGCGACAAGTATGAACTTGTTTGTACGCGAACGAACTGATCTGATTGTGACCGCACCGACTCTGTCCATCAATATATAGCATCCGAATTAATTTTGACGGAACCGAAATCGGAATCGAAACTGCAAAATCAATCGGAAGTTCCGCTCTTTCGGATCTTTAGTTTGTTTCATAATAAATAGGTCTATTGCACTCGTACTATTTACTTGCTTAACTGTATCAATATATTATTTATTTTCAAGCAAATGTGTGAAAATGCTAGATTACTTAACTCCCCAGTTGGAAAAATCGAGTGGGGGCAATCAAAGTACTTCGCAATAGCGTTGTTACATGTTTGTTACGTTTGATTTTGGGAGAAGACGAGGCGTTCACTTAGCCCCCATATTTCGTTTGTCCAATATACAGAGTGGAAATTTTGTCTGGAACACTGAATATATCTTCAAAAGTACAATGTCTACAAAGAAGTTTGTATGGTATCCATAATAATAAAAAGTTCGCTATTAATCTACGTACTTTAAATTTGTGGTCAGTGGCGTACTTATGCATGATCAAGGGAGGTATATTTTTTTATGGAAACCACTACTTTTCTTTACATATTATTAAAGCGTACACATCTTGGGTATAGCGGCATAAGAAAACTGAGGATTGGGAATTAAAGAAAATCTTTTTTTCTTTTTTAAACACGTTTTTTTTTATTACTATTGCGGCTATCGATTTCGACCTTATCAGGTCATCTTCAGGCCGAGCGTCATTTGGTGAAGTGATGATGCATGTAATATTTTGACGATGTTATATATTATGTTAGTTGTCAGGAATGAAAAATTAAGTGTAATAAAAGTGAGATTGTGTATACTTACACACAACCTCACCTGTGTGTAAGTATACACAACCTCACTTTTATTACACTTATTGCGGCAATAGTAATAAAAAAAACGTGTTTAAAAAAGATTTTCTTTAATTCCCAATCCTCATCATACAACACGTTTAAAGAACGATGGAACAATACATCAAATCGAATAAGAAAACTGATTATATTGATAACATAATCAATTTCAGAGAAAAACTCAATTAGGGAAAATAGTTGTGTTAATTAATTTATAATTTTTGCTAGGTTGCCCAGAAAAACGTTAATCTTAGTTTTGCCAAAGCAAGTTAATATATAAATTATTAAAAATTTGCAAACAAATTTACAAATGAAAAAGTGTAAAACTGTGGCGTGCGTCCTTTTAAGCATGTGGATTTATTTAAAAAAAACGCAAAATTGCTTTGACAAAACGCAACAAAAGAACTTTTTCTCCACCAACAAATTTAGTGAAATTATTAAATTAAATTATAATACCTACAAATATTTTCCTTTAAAGGCCCCGTGAAGTAAAAAATTTAAATTTACAAGAAAAAAACAATAAATAGTTATCCCGACAAAAACAAGTACAAAAAAAATCCGGGCTTTCTACGTTCAGTAGATCGCTCGTAACACACGTTTAAAATTCCGTCGACCGATTCGGTGACGTCACCGCTCCATGTTGAATACGCAGGTCCTACGTAAGCGCACCTTTACTAACTCTGCAGTCGTGAATGCACAGCGATTTTAATCGATCTTTTTGTTAAACTGAAGTCTCAAGTTTGTGCTTCTTACAAAAAAATTATGGAAGGAATTAACCCTTATCAGTTTGAACCTTTAAGAGATGAAGTTACTCGTGAGCGACAAGAGTTTGCTTTTTCCCTTTTAAATACAAGGAAGGAACCGCGGTCTTTTTTAGTACATTTCTAATTTTGCAGTCGGTCAATTTACTTTGTAAAACAGGGCCTGGTTCGAAATCTCCACTGACAAAATGTACGGAACAAACTACAGCGCTTTTAGTCGGTTCAAATTTAACCCGATTTATCCTCTTTACCCATGATTTAAAACGTAAGGGCGATTTCTCACGACTAGGAAATTTATGGACACTTATTCCTACTGTTTGATTAGTAGAATTTCTACATTTATAAGCACAACACCGTGTCATTTTAGTACAAACACAGATAATCTGTGGTACAGGTACAACGTAATATCTCGTTAGACAGCTAATACGCAACTGCAAATGTGTAATAGCCGGTAGGCGGTAAGTATTGGAGCGGTGACGTCACCGCATTCGTAATAAATATTTAAACCCCTGTAACTAGGAAACGGGACATGACACTGACACCGGATTTTTGTTGTTGCGTTTCTAAGAATATTTTCTTTAGTTTCAATGTAGTCACAATTTATGCTTCACTGGGCCTTTAATTTAATATAAAAAAAAAGTGTGCACTTTAAGATTATGTAATCAAAAAAATATAGGTGGCTATTGAAGAATGTATATCCCCCCCTTGATTCTGCAGACGTACGACATTTTCCACAATTTTAAAGTATGTAGATTGATTGCAAAGTTTTTATGATTTTGGGTATCATAAAAAGTTTCTGAGTTTTTGATTTTCGCTGAATGTGCTTCGTTTGTTTTTAAAACAAGCTATGGTTAAAATTTCAAAAAATTTGGTTGTGTAAACTACGGCATGCGGGCGTTTTGTTTGGCACCTACCGTAATGTTGGGTCACCCTGTATGACTATGTGTTGTTATTAAAGCGTATATGTGGTCGTTAATTTTTAGATTAAACGCACATCCGAACATATATGAATTCTAGGTGAAGTTCGTTGGGTATTAGAATTATATATTAGTTGTTAATTTTTTTAAATAATCACCTTGTATTTTATTTATTTATTCAATTTTATTACGTGTTAAAACATCTGGAAATAATTTCGTAGGATTAGTAAAAGTTTGTTTTCGGTCGTAGATGGGAAGCTTTGCTAGCGTGGCGTAAGCTAATTAGTTTCAAGATAAGCACCTGTTATCGCAGAATTGAACGGATGTTTTGACGACGCATTAATAAATTATTTAAGGAGGAACGAAAGTGAAAAACAAAGACAAAGTTTTAAATAGCCGAACCGAACATTAAGCGGGTCTTTTTTGGCGGTGGATGTTAATCATCTGTTTTTTTACGTATTTTTTTGCCATTATTTAAGCGTATTATTGCAAGACGATAGTTAGTTAAGTGGTATGAATACTAAGAGATTTAAGTCGTCATGATAAAAATGAAGTTTTAGTCAAATTAAAGAAGGGAAGTTTACGAAAAAGTAGTTGTTTCCCAGTACCAGTTAATAGGAGTCTTTTTTCAACATCGAAGGACCAATTATACTTCAGTAATTACAACGAATCCAGTGATCCATCACCTTAGTGATGGTGATAGGAGGTCTCTCCACTCCACTACCAACAGTACTATATGGGGTGCCTCAAGGGTCCATCGGTGGACCAATTTTATTTTCTATAATATGCATACCCAAGGACGAAAAGCGGGCATGCACAGCTCTTTGAGCTTTTTGACACTACCATGTTTGTAGTACGAAACTTGAAATAGGGTACGTACTGGCAGGTCAATAGTGTATATTGTATATTGACCGTCGGTGTGGAACACAAGGCGTTTTATTTAAATTAAGCAGTACAAAAATACGAAAACTGCATATATTTGGCACACAAATTTGATAGAATTCCACAAATTGACTTTAGTTAATTTATTGGAAAACATTCATTATCATATCATTATACTATACTGTTGTGAATTGTTTAATGAACTAAGTTCTAGATTGATTGGATCATTACTCATTATAAATCTAATTCAGATTATAATCTGTGATTTTACTTTCTTTAAAATTTCTAGCTACGAATACACTAACCAGGGTCGCGATCATATATCACATATTCTGTGCACGACTTATGGCATATAACTGGAAATAAAAATTTCTTGAATCGTACTCGTGACACGTTTTACATATTTCTTTAAAATATGGTTAAACCTCGGATACAATTTTATTTAAATATACATTTTCAAAGGTACTAAGTTGGGTTGTTTTGAATTATTATTATCTAAATAACTATCATCCTGTCACGTACTGAGAAACGCGTAAAAACAAATCTAAGGTTCCAAAGTATTATTATATAGTTACTTTTTATACTGTAATTGCGTAGGTACATAAACTATTGGCTGCTGTTATCCTCTTCACGTTTAATTGTTTTGTTAGTATATCACTGTCATGTCATCATTATACGATTTTATATAATGAAAGGCCGTTCCTTTGTGTGTAATTATAATTAAAGTATGAATAAATATTCAGTCAGTGTTATTTATATTTTATAGTATAGTGCGGCGGTGTAATGGTTGATAGTCCACCTACAGGAAATCCTGTTCTAAAATAATTTTTCATTCTGATCGCCGTTTGTCAATAGGATTATCGTATTCGAATTAAATTTTATTGCGCATGAAGTTATTCTCTGTCGAAATTGAATTTTGGCGACATTTTCCTGCAACATTCCGTTTGTCTGTTTTGGGTAGGTAATACTAGTAATACTGTAAGTATAAGTATATTGGCATTAGGGGTTTCCTTCGTATTAAAAAAAATTTCTAATAGATATTAACTTAAAAACAAAATAGTAATTGCATTATTTGTTTCAGATTCTTTTGTTAATAGTCAAGAATGGACATTAAGTCGATCTGTGCCAGATTTAAGATTAGGTATAGTCGGATCTCTTTCTTCGGGAAAATCGGCGTTAGTACATCGGTACTTGACCGGTTCATACATGCAAGAGGAATCACCTGAAGGAGGACGATTTAAAAAGGAAATTTTAGTCGATAATCAAAGTTACCTTTTACTTATTCGCGATGAAGGTGGTCCACCGGAGTTACAAGTAAGTGACCCTTAAAATTGTTCACATATTTCATGACCGTAAGGTCGACCGTGAAATTCTCGCTCCACGGGGCAAACCCTATAGATGTAGACGATGATACCTTCAGACTAAGGAAAACGTCCTCCCTGGCCCCTGGGTACTATTTTATTCACAATCGTTTAATTTTTACTACAGCTACAAGCAAAATTTTCTTTCCCTGAACTGGGTGTCCGTGGGGCTACAATATTTAAAATTAAATCAAGTTGGGGATTGGCGATGTCTTGGCATGAAGATTGCGTACATTTCTTTTATCTAAAAAGTAATCATTTTTAACACAAAAACCGCAACTTCGCATGGCTAGTGGCCACTATGTGTCTGTGGCCAGGTTTCTCGCCTTGACGCCACTTATCTTTATGTCGGGCGTCGCGAAGTCGCTTTCACGTTAACGTCCCCTTTTCACGTAAATCAGTTATATGTAAAATAGGAGTTACACGTAAACGCTTTAACATTCTGTAGACATTCAAGAGTGTGGAATAAATTAATATTCATACTTATTAAGACTATATTCACTACATGAATAATGTTACCATACGCATGTTTCAAGTATTTTTATTTGGTTGGTCCCTCAAAAGGGGGGGGGGGATACTCACAAAGGGCGATTGAGACGTCTGCAAGAAATATGTCCATTGATGATGTCAAAACAAAAGCTATTTCGATTAAAAAAATGCACTTTATGTGCACAAGAGTTGTGCACAATTTATACTTGATTTACTTTCGCGCAACAAATTGGAAAATAAATCTCAAAAGAAGCGCCAATTTTGGATTCATACATATCTTCTATCTCGAACAGAGAAACGTTCTTCATCATACGTTTTACAATGACCTTCGAAACTTCGACAAGTTTTTATATGCGTCCTATCAGTGTCGATGAATCCAATTTCCACACATACGTACAATAATGCAACCAAATTGACCATACCGTAACAAACTTGTCGCATGGTGGCGTTTCTGAGAATCGCTTCCCGCTACTAATGGCGCTGCGAATCGTGCCGTGTGAAGGGATGTGTTACCATATTGCTAAGGACACCTCTTGGCTTGGCTCGGTCCTTTTGGCTTGCCAAATTCTTGCATGACGTTGTGATCATGGCACTCCAAAGTGCTTTTGAACTGCAGCTACTGGGACACGGTTCCCACTCTCAGTGCCCTTCTTTAACTTGACTGGAAATAAGTTGAAACTCATCACAACTTTTTCGCACTTGAACTTCCAAAGGCGACTCGACAGCAACTCATTTTTGATCGCCCGTTAAGGTATGGTTTCGCTGGTGCGGCCGACGACTGCGATCAACGACTGCAGTCGGCTGCAAGTCACTGCTTCCTGTACATTCGTGCGCAAGCGGTTTCGTTCGTGCGTTGCGACTCGAGTTGCAAGAGATCGAGACGCAATTGCTGCGACTCGACTGATAGATACACCAGTCAAATCGCAGACGCAACGTAAAAATGACGCGGTTTTCAGTAAATGACGACGAAAGTATAATCGAAGAAATACGCAAATATGCCGCACTTTATGATTATGAAGGTGAAAATTATAAAAATGTTATTGTGAAAGAAAACGCATGGAAAAAAGTAGCGTTCTCTGTTTAAAAACTTGTGATAATTATTAATAATATTATTTCTTATTTGACTTTAAATGGCTATTGATAAGAAGATTGTAGTACCCTTCTTCTGCTCTTCTTTTAAACATTACATGCGCGTCAGATCTTTTGTGAAATAACGTTTCTCCTAACAGAACTTCTTGATCCTCATCTTCTTCCAACATAATAAGTCACATCTTCATCAATCACAAAACAAAATAACTGACTCATCACGACATGATTCCTGTGGAAAATTAAATAAATTTTGTGTGTAGCGCGCCTCCAGACGCATCAACGAAACCATATTTACATTGCGGCTGCAACTGCGATTCATCGCAAGTCGCAGTCGCAACTGAGAGACACTCTTAACCCGCGACACAGTTGCACGTTCAAATCCAGTCGCGAGACGAAGCAGCTGAATGTGCGACTCAGTCGCGCTGCTGGCTGTTTAACAGCGCTGCACTGCGTTCTGTGTCGCTGCTAAGTCGCCCGGTGTGAAGGGACACTACGGTGCTGGTCGGTGACAAAACGGTCTAGTGGGCATAGTCTCATACTATTCCATACAAACAATATTTTTTTGGCTGGCACGTTCCTATTACGGTCATGGTATGATACGTTGTAGTGGGTAGAGACCTTTAGAGACCAGCTAGCTCATGGATGGAACATACAAAAGAGCATGAGATACTTTACAGTCTATTCGCCCTTTGTCAGTACCCTCTTCCGACAATCCGTTCTGAAGATATAAGGGAATATATCCGATCACAATAAGGGGTCGAGTAAGAGGACTATGGTTGGTAGAAATGAATTCCTTTCGACCTTTCTTTCATTAGAGTAGAGGATAAAACCAGTTCCACTCTCCTCTTTTGATAAGGGATCAGAATGAAGGGCGGTAGTTGGTAGAAAACGGTTCCTTTCGTTGAGACCTTTAATTAGAATACCATGAAAGATAACATTAATTTCACATTTATATTTTTTATTTTCAATTTTCTTATATTAAATATTTGTGTAACCGATCTTTTTATTGCGCGTCTACGATATGTTATTAATGATTAAAATAGTGTTTGAATAAGCTAAAAGGAAAGTAAATAATTGTCATGCCGATACTCACAATCATTGAATTTTATAAATTCAATGTCACAATGTTATTACCAACTTTGTGGAAAACTGGTGACGCGTATTTCTTTCTGTCAAGTGTCAATAACTACGACACAACCTGCAGCTAAGGAGTCTTTTTGAATAAATAATGCATATTTAATAGAGTAAACATAAAACGTAGTCTGGCGCCGCACGATAACCATTTATAAATTACCCTTCCAAGTTGGAATGGTTCGTGTGGATAGTACGAGTATATTCTTATGGAAGTAATGATTTCTAAACGTCGCGCCGGTCACTGGTTGCCCGTTATATATTGCATATTTTTATTTCTATCTCTGTATGTTGACTTCTTTTCGAAGATAATAGGAACAATGTCCGTTTTTTATGCGTTGCATCAAACCAATGTTCAGAAAGTGCGCAAATAGGCGCTTGCATGTTCATAGGGGCCTGTCCGAGGGTCTGTCTGTCCTTGTTCACTTATACACTTTAAAACCATTACTTGGGTACTACCACTACTATACGTCATATTACCTCCATTCCTTCACTCAACGATTAAAACGAAATAACTAATCTTCCACACCTAATAATATGCATATCTATCATTTTTGCAAGCGCAGTTTTAGAAATGCCCAATTTCGTGTTACGGTTTGTGTAAAGATCGCTTTGTGGAAATTTCTAGCAATATTTCACACTCATCGCAATACGCTGTTTGTTTCTTAAATGATCGCGCATTTGTTATTCGTACACTTAAAAATTGCTCCAATTAATTTAGTCACTACCTACATAAAATAGTTTAATCAAAATTCAAAACCATTTTGGAAAAAATGGGCAGGAACAAACTGTAAGCGTTGTGTCAGTATTTGTGTATTGTAGATAGATAGGATAGAAACTGGTATCCTAGAACAGACCGTTTCAACAATTTTCACCTGACAAATTAATTTCTTAGTACCCGTCTAAATTGAGCTTTGTTTCCCGAGTAAATGGCACATTTAAAATGGTGGTTATAAAATTATCTCGCAAGATACGTTTCTATTGTTTCGCAATGTATGTTCCGTCGTTCGATAGTTCGAATTTTATAGCGATGGGCGACCCAAAAGGAAAAATTTTGTATAGTGCAATGTGCCTTTGGAGCTTAGAGCAGTCATTTCTCTATTCCCGATTGAAGGTTTAGCTTCTCGATACACGAGTCATGGCAATTTCCCGAGTGGAGGAGAAGAGAGCAATTTAGTATGTGATCGAAACTGAGCGATTCAATTTAGCAAGCTCTCTTCGACATCGCGTAAAAATAGGAACAATGTCCGCATCCATTGGAATCCATCTATATACCAAATTCGAAGGCCGGTTTCGTGTATATGAAAAATGCGACACGCTTCAGTGCACTTTTGTTTTTTCCCCGCTTGTATGTATGTATTATGCAATGCAAGGCGAACTTTGTGTTGCACAGGGGCAAATATCGATCAGAAAACTAGGAAATGCATTCATGAAAGAGGGAGAGATCTGATAATAAACCGGGATGGAGTTGGCGCCGCGGCGCTACTGGCGCTCACTTGTCGGTCTTGATTCAGTGAAGCTTCTGATATTCGTTGGAAGGGTTAGTTTTCGCTCAACATTTGCAGAATGTGATTTATTGTTGGGTAAATATGATTTTAGCTCATTTTCTCTCTGTGATGTTTCACTATGCAAGTAGCTTAATGAAGTATGTATAGTTCATTATTAGACGATACCAACCGATTTTAATTTGCTTCCAATTGAGGCAGTTGCATCAAAAATGTAAAGGCTCTTAACATTTTTTCTGTTTTTTAATCGGTTATTCAGGTGGAAACTATAATAAGTAATTAGCTTCCCTGGACGACGATAAAATCGACAAATTGAGTTTGCGATTTAAAATTGAATGAGTAAATAAATAACATGATCGTCCTGCATCATTGAAATCGTCTCTTTTGCATCTCTAGCATAGAACATATTTGCAAAATCGCGTATTTCTTGAATAGTTAATTGTTTCAGTTCATTGAATTTTAATTGCCTTGCAGCGTGACATGTAAAATGCTATTTGACTGTTTACGGCGTTTTACTGCAGGTTTCACAAATTTGCAATGTTGAGAAAACTATGCTAATTTTGTATTTCCTGTGCTAAGCGATCAGACATGCAATTTCCACTTTCTAGTGATCTATGTATGTAACTAACTTAACTGTTATCTACAAATTTCCACTCCAGAAAACTGGAATTGTTTACAATTACATTTCCTACCCACTTAATGTCTTCTGCTGGTGGCGCTAACGAAATTAGTTCCCTCAGCATCACAATGATTTTAACAACATTAAATGGAGGTTCACCATGCAGTCAGTTTAAGTTTAAATTGATTGCTGATTGAATTTACGCACCATTAGATGCTTTAATTCAATTTGTCTGTTATTGGACCGAAGTATACTAGTACGGAAAATGAGCCCGAACTTTCTACTTTATTTACTTATTACTTTTAATTATGTATTATTGTTATTCAAATTTGTGATGTAACTTTTCTGTTTCAGTTTACCGCCTGGGTGGACGCGGTTATATTTGTGTTCAGTTTAGAAAACGAATCTTCGTTTAACGCAATTTACAACTATTACACGAAGATGTCTCATTACCGCAACTCTGCAGAAATTCCTCTCATTTTAGTTGGTACACAAGGTGAGTTGACATTGAGATTAGTTTTATGTTTATTTATTATACCTAATAGAATATTCGCTTTGATTGGTTTATCGCGTGTTCGTCGTTAGCATCATTAGGTATGGGATGTGAGTAAAAACTGCTCACCTCCTGTATATTTACTATACTACACATTTTCCCAATGGCAGGACGTCGAACCACAAATGACAAATGTAATAAACCGATACAACGAAGTATCGAAGGATCCTCAGTACTATACCATCACTTTTTTAACGACCTCTTCCTACACTCTATTCTTGAGATATACACATTCAAAGTTTGACTCCTGCCGACATGTCTCTACTCCAAATCTGCCATTTGCTCTTTGTGAGTACTTACTCTTTTCTGACATCCAGTTTACGAGATATTCGCATTTGAAGTATTGAACCTTCTTGAGCATCAGTTTACGTTTGGATAATTATTATTTCACTAACCGACATTTAAGAAGTCGACTGTAAATAGCACATCAATCGAAAATTATCCTGGATTTTTGAACTTATTGTATTTTAATTTCATAATCAATACTTTAAAAAAATGTAAAGGTGACTTCGTATAAACTAGCCACTAATATATAGCTTAAAATGTATGTAGATGTTGATTATCTGGATAATTGAAATATGACATTTGTTTCAGTTTGACTATTAAAATTTTAAAATGTTCCAATCTCCACATTTTATTTTTGTAATGAGAAATTGAGGAATTCAAATCAAATAGTGGTAAAGATGAAGGAAATTTTCGAATCTAATGAAATGCTATATGCATTCTCCTTACTTTTATTAAGAAAACGTACCGTTGAAATTGCAAGAAAATTGTTTCACAAATGAGAACGCCAATGGTTTTATTTTTGTTTAACGTGTTATTTGGTAAAACTTCAGGAATATTGAAACAATAATAAAATTGCACATAAAATGCAAAACTATTTTTACTCGCAATACACTTTTTCCTGCTTTCAAGCATTTGGGGCACTACGTTTTCCACTTAGCCGATATATGAAGCATCAGCGTCAATGTCGCGGTTTCCTATCTGGGGCACTATAAAGCCGGTTGATCGGTTCCATCTCATTATCTCATAATGCCCCGAAGGTAGATAGAGATGTGTCCATTTTTTTCTCTCTCGATGCGTACCAAGTCAAACCCCCCTTTAAGACATCGGGCGTCTCCTGCCATACTATCTTCAAGACAAGAAAAAGAGCTTTGACTCTTTTCGGCACCCACCATTCTCTTTCTGCTTCCAACCTTGTAGTCGACAAACACGACACATATATCTTATACGTTATGCCCCAAACATTTTTTTCCATAAAGTCATTAAAATAACCAACAAAAACACAAAACATTCCCCATACTAATTTAATTAGACATGACGTTAAAGCGACTAGTTTCGGCCAACGGTCATCTTCTGACTTGTGGAGATTACAATTAAAACTGAGACATTCTGCAAGTTAGACATAAAAACAGGCATGGGGAAAAAACGATGGCAACTTAATCTATAACATTATAAATATTTCATCTTTAAAAATAGTGTCGAGTCACATTTTGTAAAATTAATTATTTAATAAAAAGTACGGCTTGAGGTGGACGACGCCATCGAAAAGCTTGAGTTTCATCACACCATGGATGCCTCCGATTTATTTTCTTCCAGTTCTTCGCACTAGCTCTGCTGGCACTCCCTTTGGTCTCTGTCGATAGCATGTTTTCACCGCCAATGTCGCGTTTTTGCGTTTCTCCATTACCCTACTCCTTGATTCTACTCATTTTTGTTCAACTGTCGTAATCTTGTAGTGCCACCACGCTTACCCTTTGTCCGCCCGCCCTTCGGCATGACTATGTCTGTGCACCCGCCCTTACCTTCTCCATCTCGGTTTGAGCGCGTAGAATTTCTTAGTGTCACACATGGATCTTGTTTGTTGCCTGGCGGCCACCTGTTCTGTTCTATAGTACACGTTGTATAATGATGACCACTGAGGCTTTCTTCTTCTTACACTTTACAGTTGTTTTGTGTTCATTATTCTGTCCGTCCCGTGGCCAGTGCAGGTAATGTCAATAAAACGGTGATTTGCTTCGCCCTAGAACGTAGGCCGATTTCCCCCATTTAGAACAATGAGCGCGCTCGGTGCTTTTCCTTTTTGTGTTTGGGGCTACCTAACCTACCCCACCGTTCTCACACGTGATGTGATGGCGTCGCTATGTGTTTAAAATACGTCTTGGAAGTGTCTTTTTTCCATGAATGAATGAACTGCAAATTCATGAAAAAAAGTATCACTTTCAAAACTAGTTGTACAAATAACTATTGTTCAGAAGTGGCGTGCTTATTTTTTTATGTAACATATTCTTATTAATTTTGTAGTTTCGGCTATCCCCAGCTGTAATTTATTTAGGAGGGTGCCATTTAAAATTTTAAAAAAATACTGCATTTGGCGAAGGTCAATCAAAAATTATCTTCTTTCGGTAGAGTGATCACAGAAAGTAAAATCTCTTATCTAATACTAATCATGCACAATCAAAGCCATACAAAATACACACAATTACTTGATTACTCGATGGCTTGATTGACAAAAATTTACCTTAAGAATTTTACAAAAATTTCCAAACAATCAACGAAAAGGTGCATACAAATTACTCATCACAGAATATTCTCAAAAGCGTAAGTAGGTACGAGATGATTTCAACTAATTATTAACAACGTGGTTAACCCCCAATTCGACTAGAACTAGAACTCGCAAAGTTCTCTATTAATAACAATTTTACGTGAAGTTTTCAAATCTCGCTCCAAAAGTCCCGCGATAAGACTCCGATGATCGTACGATTAAATCACAGCTCAGCTTCCTTTCCCGAAAGCAGTTACCTACAAATCCATATCGCACCGATTAATTCTCATGTGGTACGATAACATAAGCCCAGGCATAAGCCCCTACCGAGGAATTCGTCTAACAAGAACCGCTAAAAATAAACCCCACATGTAACATCGAAACAGTCAAACACCAATTTGGAATAATCCTTACTTTTAGGATGGTCAAATTAAAATAGCAAACACGACTTCGTTGCAAATCTCGCTAACCAAAAAAATTTCTACCGCGTGACCTCAAAATCCACCGTATCGATGTTCATTCAAAAAGAACCCCGTCCAACGGCATCCAAAACATCCCCAAATTGCTTTCTTTAGCGAACTCCAAATTGAAATTTTCGATTCAGACCAATTTCACATTACGCAACAACTTTAAGTAACAAACAAATTAAAAAATCCCTACAGTTAAAATCAAAACTAACCGTTACAAGATGCTACACGTTTATTTTCTCAGTTGTTTTCTAATAAAACCTGGCATAATTTTTGTAGGTTGTACACAGAAAATAATTTAATTAAAATTTTGTTATTTTTGAAAAAAAAGTTCGATGCTGTTGCGGCGCTCCAAAGTTTTTTTCCAAAAATCCGGCTGTTACTTTTCGTGTTTGTGTGCCTAATCTACATATCCAAAACTTGAACAAAATCCGTCGAGCTGTTATCGCGGAAAATTTCCAACGTACGTACGGTCATTGACAAAAGTAATGATCGCCATAGGTAAACCTAACCAACTAACATGCTTATTACACCTGGTGCCGTCGATTTCTCCAAGTTACATAATATATTCAAATACTAGTTGTGCTTGTGTGATGCTGCAGGATTTACCTATTCGTCGATCATTACCTAGCTCAAGCTATAGGAAGCTAAAAACTGTATTAGGTATTGCCAAACAGAGAATTTTAATCCCTCAGGAATAATTTAAAATTCTCAAGGAAGTGCTTAAAATTCAGAGTGGAAGATAGTGAGGGGAATATTTTAATACTATAAATTTATTATCAAACTAAGAATTAAACATCGAAAAAACTGATGTACGTAGCACACAAAATTTGAACGGTCGCCTTTCATTTCAAAAAAACCTGATAGAAGCGCAGGGCATATTAAAATTCATAGCTGTAATAAGAAAGTTAGCAGTCAGTAGTGCCGGTTTTAGTTTGGAATACACTGAATAAGTTAGGCTGTTAATATACAATGTTTGTTGTTTGTGGTGAATTTGCTACTGTTTATACTTACATATTGTAAGAGTATCATCTCATTAAAACTTCTATTAAACGGCTTCCGTTAACGTGTTTCGTATAGCCCATTTCCAAGAAACGTTTAATAGAAATAGATAATTGAATTTTGGTGGGATTTAACACCAAGAAGATTTTAAAAAGAGTTATATAGCTTTCTTTCTGCCTTCAATTTTGATACTCCCTTATTGAGGTTTTATTTTTTGGAAAAGTAGCGAGAGGATTTTCTCGAAGAGATGGTGCTTACATTTTAGGTCTCTTTTGAAAGAAGACGTAATCTTAAATAGGCCACCTATATAGTACAGCAAAATTTCCGTCCAATTGTGTAACATTTCCAATTTTCATTTCCTTTAGATGGAACGTTTCAAACATATATACGCAAGTTGAACAATGAATGTGATAAGGGGATGCGAGCGCACAAACGGTTTTCGTCTCTAAAACAAACTAAAACGTATCACATTTCAAATTTCATATCTCGTTTGTAGCTCCAGAACCTTATTTATTTCATTTGCATTGGATTTTTAAGAATTTTGTTTCTTTTAATTGCAGATGCTATTAGCGAAAATAATCCAAGGGTAATAGATGACGCAAGAGCACGAAAATTAGCAAATGATCTTAAGAGGTGTTCCTATTATGAAACATGCGCGACATATGGCTTGAATGTAGAAAGAGTCTTTCAAGATGGTAAGTTTAATTATTAACGTATTATTAACGATCTCCTATAGCGGGTTTTGTAATTTTGCTGTGCCTGTCCGTCGGTCCGTCCGTCCGTTGCACGATAATTCGTACACGAATTTCTTTATTAAATTCTTTATCAAATTTGTAGATTGGAGTTCGTGAATTGGGAAGGTAGGTCAAAAAATAAAGAAGGCCCTTTTGACATCTCGTTAGTTATGAACCGAATGTCATGGAATTCAATATGCGCATAGCTTTAGCCATATCAAACGCAATTCCAAAAGTTGACCTAATCGATCAGCATTCACAGTGCCCTCTTCGCATCTCGACCATTTATAAACCGAATTCCAAACTTTCTTATTTATGAAGGTATTTAAATGAAATTTGATACATAGGCACTTGGAAATAAAACAAATGTCGCGCCAGTTTCCAAATTTGGTTTTGTGCATGATGTGCAGTGCCCACTGTCTTATTTATGGAAGCAATTGAATGATGTTTCATACATACCACTTGAAATAAAAGCAACTACCACCAGCTTCAAAATGTGGTTTTGCACATGCGCTATATAGCCATACCCAGGAGCTCGTTTTCTATATTTGTTTACACGTTTATTGTAATGCCATTGAATTTATAACTATGTAATGCTAATGATATATTTGAAAGCGCACCGTCTGAGTCGAGGTCTGAGTATATTAATTTATCATGACATGATTAAAGTTTACGTACCAAATGATGTTAAGGTGCCTTTTATCAACCAAGGATACGCGAAGCGAGAATTTTTTTGAACTAAAAGAGGTCTGTAAGCGTTTTCTTACAACATTGCGTTGCACGTATAATTTTTTTATCTGCGACCGGCTGCTTTGTTATTCTGAATCTGATTAAACTTTGCGTCCCAAACCATAATGTAAGAATAGATACACTATGCCCAAACTAATCTCAGCCCTTAAAATCGAGGTTCTGTTCCTGCATTTTATTCTGCTAAAAATGTATCAATGATAATGTGAAACGGAGTGTAACATTTTGTTAATTTTATCTTTACAGAAGGTTACACGTAATTTAACGCAATTTTATAAACGAAAACTTTTACGACTTTGTATGTTTGAAAAACTATGACCGTTTTGATTTCAAAGAGGAGATCAAACGCTTGGTTAAACGTATCGTAAATAACTCCCAAACTGCAGCTTTTGGGAAAAATTTTGCTTAGCTTAGTAAATTGTTCCGTTATAGGGTAGTAGCATGCTATTTTTATCGATTGTTTCTTTCTCGTAAGACTTCACCACTTGACATGCCTCTTCCAAACATTTCATTTTGCCGTTGTGAGTACTTTCCTCCGACAAAGAGTTTTTGAGATATTCGCTCGTAAAGTGTTGACATCGCCTGTACCATCCTCCGACAATCTGTTCTTGAGATATAAGGGATTATTGATATCCGATCACGATAAGGAGTCGAAGAGGAGCCTATATGGTTGGTAGAAATTAATTCCTTTCGTTGAGACTATGCCACAATTGTCTAATGGAAATGGATACCCGACTTGCACCCTCGGGTTCAATTCTTTGTATGAAATACAAAAATGCATACTCATTTCAGCGGAATTGGACATCCGGCTATTTGTAGGTTTAAGATTTTTTTGGACATCCTCTACATGTGTTTGTTTAGTTTACAGTGCCCAGAAAGTATGCCCACGAGTAACCTCAGGTTCTTCCTTGATAGCCCTGTACAAAAACGCGCCAAGCTACGAGATGGTCCTCTGAAGGCTTCTCTCGCATGGCGACAATCTAACGTCAAGTTCCACCTAGCCCTGTGCTGGGTTTGGGTGTCTTGAGTTATTAGGTTGGTTACAGTCGTAACTGGAAGTGGAAGAGCCGGCTCTGGACCATAAAACGCCTGTTTTGTGGCGAGTCGGGCTAATTTATCGGCTTTCTCATTACCTTCCGTTCCAGCATGCCCTTTGACCCATACGAGCTCAAGGGTGTTGCTGCTTGCTACTTGCTCTAGTACGTGGTAACATTCGGAAACCATCCTAGAGGTAATTTTACAGTGACCAAGTGACTGCAAGGCAGCCCTGCTGTCACTTGAGATTCTGATAGTTTTGTTCTTTATGTTATGCATAAGAACTTTTCTTGCACTAAGCGTTAATCCTACCAACTGACTGGAATACAGTAGGAAGTTTACCTAGTGGTTGGGTGATATGGAAGTTCAGTTCTTTGGAGTAAATACCAGTGCCTGTTCCTTCCATTGTCTTAGATCCATCCGTGAAGATGAATATATCTGGTTGGGATGCCATATTCTCATCAAAGAAGATGTGATAGTTTTTCCCTAATATGAATTGAGGAGTGAGTGAGTCCGATCTCCCCTCTAGGATAGGCAGTCGCTTGATCGCCTCGCCCAGAATTCGGGAGTGGCCCCCCTCAATGCCTCTGCTATTCAACAACCCCTTATTTTTCAGACGCAGGAATGCCAGAATGGCCTGCTCTCTCACGTGGAGATCTAGTGGAGGCAGATCCAAGAGGGCCTCCATGACGGCTGTGGGGGTCGTTCGCATCGCGCCTGTGCAGGCAAGGCACGCTAGTCTTTGCACATGATTAAGGAGTGCTACAGTTGTGGAGAGTTTGGTTCTAGGCCACCAGACAATTGCTCCATAACAGAACATAGGTCTAATCACGGCAGTGTACAGCCACAGGACAGCCTTCGGGGATGGTCCCCAAAGTTTGCGGCGACTTTGCCAGAAAGCCCTATTTGCTTTTTCGGCTTTAAGCTGGATATGTTTGCTCCAATTCAGTTTTTTGTCGAGTGTGATTCCTAGATATTTCACTGACTCTGAAAATTGGAGGTGTTTTTGGAATAGCAGGGGAGCTCGAATACCCTCTACCTTTCTTTTTCTTGTGAAGAGAACTAGCTCCGTTTTTGTCGGGTTGATGGACAAGGAGTGTTCCCTACACCATTCTTCGGTTACTGTAAGAGCTGATTGCATCAGTCTGCATAAAGTAGCCTCAAATTTGCCGGTTATAAGTATGGATATATCATCCGCATACCCCAGCGTATAGTACCCACTGTCATTAAGGCGACAGAGGAGCCTGTTTACAGTCAAGTTCCACAGAAGTGGTGATAACACCCCACCTTGGGGGCATCCTCTCACTACTGTGCACCTTAGTGTTTCGTCGCCAACGCTGATGTGCACTGCTCTGAGATTCAGCAGCTGCGCAATCCAGCCTCGTACGACGTTCGGTACGCCGTGGTGACGTAGAGCCATTTCTATTGAATCGAAGGTTGTTTTGTCGAAAGCCCCTTCTATATCTATGAATACTCCCAGTGCGGACTCTTTATAGTGCAGCGATCTCTCAATCTGCCCTACAACGCAGTGCAGGGCTGATTCCGTAGATCTTCCTGGGCAGTATGCGTGTTGGTTAGGATGCAGCGGAAACCGTGTTAGCGCCGTATCCCTTATGTATCTATCGCACAGTCTTTCAAGTGTCTTAAGAAGAAAAGACATCAAGCTGATTGGACGATATGCTTTAGGTGTGGAGTAATCACCTTTTCCAGGTTTGGGGATAAAAACAATTTTTATCTCCCTCCATTGTTTAGGTATGTATCTGAAAGCGATACAGCCTGTATATATTCCCACTAGGTAGGTAGCAATAACATCCAGTCCCCATTGCAGGAGGTATTATGCCGTCCAAACCGGGTGACTTGTATGCTGAGAACGATTTCACCGCCCANGCTATTCAACAACCCCTTATTTTTCAGACGCAGGAATGCCAGAATGGCCTGCTCTCTCACGTGGAGATCGGAGATCTAGTGGAGGCAGATCCAAGAGGGCCTCCATGACGGCTGTGGGGGTCGTTCGCATCGCGCCTGTGCAGGCTAGGCACATGATTAAGGAGTGCTACAGTTGTGGAGAGTTTGGTTCTGGGCCACCAGACAATTGCTCCATAACAGAACATAGGGCTAATCACGGCAGGACAGCCTTCGGGGATGGTCCCCAAAGTTCGCCAATAGCGCGGCGACTTTGCCATAAAGCCCTATTTGCTTTTTCGGCTTTGGGCTGGATATGTTTGCTCCAATTCACTTTTTGTCGAGTGTGATTCTTAGATATTTCACTGACTCTGAAAATTGAAGGTGTTTTTGGAATAGCAGGGGAGCTCGAAGATCCTCTACCTTTCTTTTTCTTGTGAAGAGAACTGGCTCCGTTTTTGTCGGGTTGATGGACAAGGAGTGTTCCCTACACCATTCTTCGGTTACTGTAAGAGCCGATTGCATCAGTCTGCATAAAGTAGCCTCAAATTTGCCGGTTATAAGTATGGCTATATCATCCGCATACCCCAGCGTATAGTAGCCACTGTCATTAGGCGACAGAGGAGTGGTAGCACCCCGCCTTGGGGGCATCCTCTCACTACTGTGCACCTTAGTGTTTCGTCGCCAACGTTGATGTGCACTGCTCTGACATTCAGCAGCTGCGCAATCCAGCCTCGTACGACGTTCGTTACGCCGTGGTGGCGTAGAGCCATTTCTATTGAATCGAAGGTTGTTTTGTCAAAAGCCCCTTTTATATCTGTGAATACTCCCAGTGCGGACTCTTTATAGTACAGCGATCTCTCAATCTGCCCTACAACGCAGTGCAGGGCTGATTCCGTAGACCTTCCTGGGCAGTATGCGTGTTGGTTAGGATGCAGCGGAAACCGTGTTAGCGCCATATCCCTTATGTATCTATCGCACAGTCTTTCAAGTGAATTAAGAAGAAAAGACATCAAGCTGATTGGACGATATGCTTTAGGTGTGGAGTAATCACCTTTTTCAGGTTTGGGGATAAAATCAATTTTTATCTCCCTCCATTAGGTATGTATCTGAAAGCAATACAGCCCGTATATATTCCCACTAGGTAGGTAGCAATAACATTCAGTTCCCATTGTAGGACAGCCGGTATTATGCCGTCCAAACCGGGTGACTTGTATGCTGAGAACGATTTCACCGCCCAGGTCACCCTCGCCAGGTGAAGAGAGTCAGGAAACCCT